TTAGAGAATTTGCTTGCCTCCTCAAATCTAAGATCTTCCCCATGCTGAAAGGGTCATCACGGCTGTGGAAGATATCAAAGGCCAAGCCTGGGATTCCACAAGCAGAACAATTAGGGGAAACAAATGTGTTAAAAGGTGCAAGCAGCAACCAACACAAGTATCAACACTTCACTTAACATATTTTTGAGCTTCAGAGTGTGAGCACGTGGCATTGATCTTAGACTGTTGTATTCAACTAGCGGCGGCACTCAAGCTGAGAAACATTCGGATTCGTGATCTGGATACTGGCCTGCTCGCCACTCCAATTGCGACGGGAAAGGACCGAAAAGGAATTGAAATAGGCTTCCAGGAGTGTGTTTGAAAAACACCGTAACTAGCTTCCATGGTTTTATCCTTCTTCCAATTCGGCCTTTGGACAGGTGATTGGTTAGAGAGCCAGTGAAATGCAACATTGCCGCTGCTCCAGTGCTTTCATGTCCCAACAAGCGCATCCTTCTACTGAGCGTACTTTTTTGTTGATATGTTTTGCCAGAGTCAGATTTGGATCGGCGTGGCAAAGCAACACTTGAGGGTGGATTGAGAGAGAGGCGTGCTGTGTTGTGGTAAATCATTGAAGGCAGAATGACACAGGCAGTCCATACATTGCACAACAAGCACATTCTTTTGTGCCGTTGAATTCAACAAGCCAATTAGTGAACCCTATTCACACATGTGTCGACACCGAGACACCACCAAAACACAACGACACCACTTAGATGCCCGTCGACCCCCCCGACAGGACACGACAGGACAATGACTGAAAGACACACGCACACACAACCGACGGGAACTAAGATCGGATCTGATTCTCTGGAAGCGCCCTCCGGGCCTCCTCCGGGCCTCCTCTGGGCCTCCGTGCCCTCGAATAGACCCTCAAGTGGTAGCACTATTCTAGTCAGCCAACAATGAAGACATTGCGCCGCGCCTTTGCAAGCTTCACACAAGGAGAAAAGGTCGCTTCCGCCGTGAACATGTTTCAGCAATCCTCAGGAATGCATTGGCAGTGTTTTGTTTGATGAATATCGGTTTAAGTCAACTATCTACTGACAACAAGGTCAACCAAACATAGGCCTTTTTTTGGTGGGATAAGGTGCAGCATGGCTTGTCCAACATAAAGCTAACACACTACACAAGCAACGTAAACGCGTTCCATTTCTTTTGCAAGGCACCTAAAAAGCTCTTGACATCGTTGTACATGTGGGGCAAATGTACCTGGCAAACTTGACAGAAGTGGCCTGTTGGCAAACGAGAAAAACACGAGCGCCAAGCCGCGGTTTCACCGAGGTGCAGGGGTGAAGTTCAGCCCGCGGCCGCCACTCTTCGTATGATCCTTGAAGCCCATCTGACCTGCGGTGTGGGCTTCGTCTACAAGTGTTCCGGTGTGGGCCCATCTCCGTCCGTCAGAGCGAAAATCTCTTCCCCTCTTCCCCAAGAAGGCACACATGTGTGCTTGCGATGGCTTGCGTCTTCTTGCGGTCTTGCCACACATTTTCCCCAAATCTTCCCGCGTGAGCTTGCCACATTCCCACATCACGCGGTACATCTCGTCGACGTTACCGGAGGATAAATATGCCAAATAGCCTTAGAGGAACAAAAGCAGGGGCACAAGAAGCTCTTAGAAACAAGTGCATCGCTTCTAGTAACAAGTGCCTCACTAGTAGTAACAAAAACATATAGACTCTTAGCGCTTTAACCATCGACGGCAAACTCTTGTCTAACACTCTCGTCTCACAACACTCAACGACATGTAATCTGTAACGACGGTCTGCTGACGGCAGAAAATCATTCGAATGGGAATGAACAGGGCTTGGCCGAGAGCGACTGGAAAATGGAGGCTTTCATAGGCTTTCCATGTCGATCTGCACTGAGATGTTCCATTTATGGAGCCAATGAAAACTTTCTCTTTTCAGCAGAAAGTCACGAAGTCTTTCAAAACACTTCTACCGTCTTTTAGTCTATTCTACTTTCTTCTACCGTCTTCTTTGTATATTCTTTTTCCTGCCCAGAGTCCTTCACAAATCGCAATGTCATCGGGAGCACTATTTGTGTGCAGCTTTTGATGCCACTGCTCGATAAATTTGCATTCAATGCCTGAGACAAATAGATGGCCCCTAAATGCAGCTACATGTGAATTCAGCTTCCGACCTGTGTCAATCCTAGTCTTGGGTGCAGTACTTGAAGAGGCAAAGCTATGTTGGTCATGTCCGTCTCAGTGTCTTGCAGCACCCACACCTGGACGGTGACCCTCTTTGATGCCATGGGTTCGCATGATGTTCAAGATACCTCAGGTTTCACCAGGCAAAAGGCTTGGTCCAATCGGGGCACGAAACGGTTTCAGTTTGACACTGTGGCACCGTTCATTGCAGATTTTCACACTCATACATTGTACATGCAATGGAGGCCATCGCTACTAGGGTGGAGGTCGTCACTAGTAGTAACAAGAAGCTACTAGTAGCAAAGCTACAAATCTACTTTATGACATCTACGCATATCCATTGGGTGACACGGCACCATGTCGAATAGCGTCTCCTCCACCAGAGCTGCCTCGAGGTACCTGAGTGGCGAGGCCAAATGGCGATGTGAAGCTTTTCATCGGGTTTGTCGGAACCGGAGTCACAGCCCGTTTTGCGCACAAATAGGACACGAAGCTTTGGGCCGAAGATGCGAAAAGCACGGTGTTCGTTTGTCGTTTTTCTGAAAAGTTGATTTGTAACCAGCCTGAGCTCTATGACTGGTTGGTAGGTACGTGACAAGATCATTTTCTCAGATTTTGATGAACGCACGCATAAGCACGGAGGTCACATCACGTTGCAAACGAAGCAAATCCGAAACCAAACTATTCAGCTCAGTAGCTGCTTTGACCGCAAGTCTTAACAAAGTCCTGCCGAGCTGTGGTGATGGTATTTTAGTCGACAGGTCGAGTGAATCGAGTGAGCCGACCTTGGATATTTTTTCAAAAGGAAGTTGGAAACAGCAAATCAGTGAACCGATAGTCTTTGAAGTCAATCCACACGAATCAGAATTTGGAATTCTCTGTCAGTACAAATCAGCAGATCAGCCAGATCAGTGCATTTGATTGATTCTGATCCGATTCCTTACTGGCTTAGATTGCAACATTGGTGTGACGATGAGCATATGTTAAATATAAAAACATGCATCTGTACATAACTTATGTGACTACACATGGTTTCGGCAAGCAACACGTCAAGCGCATGCCTCTGAACAAAAATGCAATTCTCGGTAAATCAAAGGCAAGCAGAGTAGTGGCACAAAGTAGTTCTCTCCAATTTGCACTTTTTCAGGACACGAACGCTGAACGCTCTTCTGTCTCCTGATGCGTGGATCCTGAGCATTGGACACAGCTGCACTCATGACACCACCAATGCGCTCCTGCGCATGCGCCATGTCCTCCAAGAGCAAGAACATGGACTTATATAATATAGTAATATATATCATATAGTCCTCTCAAAGCTCATTCAACCGAACAAACCAAAGATTGGTATTCCTTGGACCGATTGAATGCACAAGAAAAAGTGCAAACTTGCAGTGCACAGTTTTTCTGCGACTTGACGGCGTTTGCTTTCCGACATAGCTAACGCCGTCCTAACAAGAAATGGTGGACGATTGCAACTTCGCTGCACGGGTGCACCAATAGAGAAAACAGGTAACGCGTGACGACATGAGAAGCAATCGGAAGATACACTCCACATGGGCTTTCAGCTGGGCAACTTCTGAATCATTTTGAATCAAACCCAGGTGTGGAACACAAAGGCACAATTTCTCTTTTTTCACACCACACCCATCTAGACCCGTTTTGAATAACATTGTTGACTCCACACTCTGTGAAGTGCCGAAGTGCCAGCGCCTTGGGCTGATATCCCGACTTTCGATACCACTCCAGAGCTTTAGCATCAGCCAAGCCTTTGTACAGCTTCGTAACAAATGAAAAATCGCCCATGTTTTCAAATAACATTTTTTTCAGGTGAATCAGCTTCTCCAAATTACTTACAAATACTTACAAGGTAAGCAACACACAAAGAACAAAAACAGCTTTGTAAGCACTGGAAACACCAGAATTAAGTCACGTCCAAATCCTAATGCCTTAGTGTCGGACATAGGACTGTAGCAATCCATGCAGCTGCCTCAAAGTCCACCTCTGCCGCCCTGACTTCGAAGCCGATTCGGCGTGACCAAAAACGTACCAAAATAGATCAAGTGTAACCGCAAACCAGCAGAAACTATACCCAAGCACTGCCACACACACACAACACTTTGTGGCTTGGAGGGCTCCAAAGACAAGTTAACCCCAGTTGCTTCCAGTGCCTTCAGCTTTTCCACAACCTGTTCCCGAAGTCGAGTGCCAAGCAGCAAAACATCGCTGCAGGCACAAAGGCGCTGGAATTGCGTGAAATGCTGGTAGCGGGTTTCAGCCTGACCTTGGTGCAGTTTTTCAGCGCGTTTGGCTGAGCAGCTGAGGGGAAGTTGAGCTGTGGATTCCAAGCCTTCGACTAGGCAACTGTGTGCCCGGTTGGAGAGGTATGACAACAATTTGTCGACAGTTGAGACTGAAAGCCGGGACGAGTGATGAGTAGACGTCAAGAGTCAAGGTGTATAGTTCGAGTACAACCACCGCTTATGCAACAAGCGCGGTCAACAATCATAACTGCGCCGTCTTTCTTCTCTTCTATTTGTTTTCTCATTGCCGACTGAGCTTTGAAGAGATATTCCTCTGTCCGCGATCAGTCCGATGAGAAATGAAGCAAAACACAGCTCAGGATGAAAATGACACAGCCGGCAGTTGATCGTGTTGGTCGCACGGTCGGGTTTGCTCGCTTAAACGGGGCTGGACAGCTTTCTTGAGACGAAAACAATGCTAAGATCTGTTGAGGCGCAGCTGACATGCACGTAGTCCAAACTTGAAAGCTTTACAAGATAACATAACACAACAAACGAAAGCCAGCTTTGTTGCAGAAACTTTGGACCTAGACACAAAACCTCTGTGACAGGCTCTGCTCGGATGTTGCAGTCTGTGGCACTTCCTCGCCTGTAGCCAAAACCTGATGTCTCAGGAACACCAAACAGCAAGTGATGACGTGCATTAGAACATGGTGACATGACGACCCTGAGAGGTGCGGCTGTTGTTGTTTGCTTTTTATCAAGTGCTCAACGACTTCTTAAACACTGGTTCCGACTTCATGTGACATGTGTGGGAAAGTTCGCCGTTTGCGGTATGCCGTGGCAATGCCGTGGCACTGGCACCCAGAAGTTGTCACCGCCGTCGCGCTTCAGCCACAGCTCCCCGGAGCCGAACTTGATATACCTCGAGGCACTTGCATGTGCAGTTCCCACTGGATTGACTGCGCTCCTCTGGGCGAACTGTATCTTGAACTGTCAAACAAAGCAGTTCTTGCCCAAATCCCCCAAACCATTTTGCTTTTATTGCTTTCTGGGCTGAACAGTGCAGCATCATGCAGCATCTAGTCTTGGCAATGACTCACCCAGGAGCCCACCCAGCCCACTATTGAGAATGGAAAAATGCCGTGTTCACAAATTATGACTTGGAAATTTGGAAAATGGTGTACAGAAAACGGAATCAAACGGACAATGGCATCAAACGGTCCGAGGCACAACACGAACGAGAGCCATCGTGGTGCCTTTGGTGCTTGGGCACGCTTGAAGGACAGCACAAGGCGTGCCTCGAGATGGAACTTGACTAGCTAAGTTTTCTTCCGAACTCCAGTGAAGTTGCTCAGTTGCTTCGCTACCCTAAGATTCAGACAGCAAATTCCCCAAAACGGAGTGTTGTCACCTTTGATACCGTACTTACTCTTCAAAAGTCAAGAGTTCATTGTTCAAGAGCCAGATGGATCGGAGGTCCATCTACACCAACAGCCAAAGTTCACTTACATTATCTTACATTCAAATCATGCAAGTTCACTTACGCAGAAATGATTCCTGCGTGAGACTGGAAAGGGCCTGTCCAGGCACCACTACACGGGCGGCCACATCATCGAAGGCTTTGCAGTTTGAAGGCAGCGTATCTGAAATGTCGTGGAATGCATCGCTACGAATCAGCTGCGTTCCCGAGAAATCAAAATGATCAAACAAGTATAGGTGTCTTCATAAATCTCACTTTCTACATCTTTCTACCATGTTCATCCAACGATGGAGTTGACAACTTGATACCATGTGCCATTTGCCATTTGTCTTCTCTCTCTGGCCTCATTCGTTTCGTCTTTTGCGACACCGAAACGGATGACTCGGTCCCCACCGATGGGTTGCCACTCGCTGCCGGCACTCGGCGCGGCGCCCCAATGCAACGAGACCTCTGCATCCTCTGAGAGCTCCAGCAAGGCCTAGCAATCCAAAACCGCACGGAAACACATTTTTGGCAATAAATTCAGATGCAAATTTCAATCACCACATCAACATCTTTCATTGTTGCATATTTTTAACAGGAAACAACCAGCAAGAATGCCTCAAAGGAAGCCTTCATTTGGAAACTCGAACTACTACACAAACGCCAAAGCCCCTTTTGTGGCAAGGAGCAGTTAAGACAGAAACAACCACTGAGAGCACCGAGAGCTTCTTCTTTGGGTGGGCATGTATGAAGTATGTAGAAATATGTCTTAGTCCGCCTCAAAAGGCAAAACTATACACTTATTGCTTTCAAAATAAGAATGGAGCAGGGTAGGGGGCCGCCATTTGCAATTTCCTGCTGCACCCTGTGTGCCATGTGTGCTCTAGGCCTCAAGGAAGACGTTGACCTCATCTGCTCCAACCGTTGCTGTCCATTTGATGGAGCCGAGGCCCTGCTCGACCTGCATCTCACCAGCCTCACGCCGCACATCGCCGCACATCGTCGCACAAGCGCTGTGCACATCTTTCTCATGCGGTGAGATTTCGCGACAGTTCGACAACACTTTCATGGATCACTTGTCTGTATTTAATTGTCTGTTCATGATTGCTCGACACTTCCCACTCTTTCCTGCCTTGACAAAGAGGTCACTACTGTTGACCATCGCAGGTGCCTTTGCTCGCCTGCGACGAACCACAGGTGCGGAGGTGTCAGACTTAGCAGCTGAGGCAACCTTAGCGAAGCGCGAAGCCAGACGTAAGACCCGAAAGGCCCAACACTTTAGGCCAAGAGGTATAGGACATAGGTCAAGCATTGGTCAAGCATATTGCAAGAAAACCTAGGCGATTACGGCGATGTTGGATGTTAGAAGCGCTGCTTTTTGCGACAGAAGCGCTGCTGCTTTCGCTTTCTCAAGCTCCGGCCACGTGGGCTCGCGAGGTGCAACCCTTGCTTCACCTCCAAGACCGCCACCGCCCACTTCAGCCGCCAAGGCAGCCACGTCAACCACAAAGTTTTCACCACCGGGGCCTTTCCTGAGTCGAGGACGAACACTTTAGTTTGGAACCCGAAGGGAACCCGAAGGGAACCCGAAGGGAGCTTTCGCTCTCGGTGAATCGCTCGATGTTCCACGCACACAAAGGGGTTATTCCGATGGAGTATTTTCACCCCTGAACTCGAAGGGTTCAAGTCATCAAGCTTTATCAATCCGTCGATCACTTCGAACAGGGTTCAGCCAGTGTGTCTGGCCACCCACCTCAATGACCAGCACAAAGGTGATCTTCTCAGGCACCTAAGTGAACGGGACTGACTCGAAAGATCCTTTTTGACGCCTCTAAGTACATCTTAGGATTTCGCAGAGGCTGTGAAAGGTTCTTTAATTCGTTTGTAAACAAAATTCATCCAAATTCCGCTTTGCTCTTCAACGGCGCTGTCACTTCGTTTTGTCAGACAACTTTCCTCTCGCTCGACACTCCCGCCTGGCCGCTCCGGAAGGTCATTGTGACATTGCCATCGCCGTTCAAATGGGCACTTGAGGCGGTTCCATCGCAGTCCTGAAACCCAACACCCAAGGCACTAAGACCTATTTAAGGTGTCCTGATAAAGAAGAACGAAACAAATCAGGCTAATCGAAACATCTAGTAGCTGGTTCCTTTTCGAAGTTTCCCTCAGCTGGAGTTGAACAGTTTTATCAGGTAAAGCGAATGATTAAAGGAATCGGGGGACACGATGTAATGCTTACATATCCGGACTCATGACTTGGCTAGTCCAAGCATCATGGACCCCTATTATGTGGTATATTCCCTATGTTGTTCTTTTTGCAACTGCGGGCCAGTTGCAGAATTACTGTATCACGTTGAATTACAAACAAAGGCATCCACAATTGCAATTTTTAGGCAACAAACCTAGGTATCAGATCTGGTAACGGCTCATTTCTTGTTCAATATGTGCCTGGGTCCTAGTGTCTGCGGTCATCAATCGGATTTTAGACGTCGTTCCGCCTGCCGACTATGATAGGAGTGTGGAATTCTTCAAACAAATCTAGTTGGACGGTAAGAACCGTTGTTTCTTGTGATGTTGTCTTGATTGTGTCGGTCTGCCCGAATGAAGACCCGGTGATCCACCCCAACGAGTTTTGTGAGAACAGAAACTCCTTCAACGCTCCCGGTGTTTTGCGTCCCGCACTGTGTGCCCGTTTCGCCTGAGAGCCATCTGGTTGCACAGCAGGCGCTTGCCAAGCACCATCCGCATTCAACACGGCCCAGTGCAAACGCCCTGCAAAGCCTTGGTGCGAGGTCTGCGAAGCGCGGTAAACTTGAACACATTCTTCTCACTTTGGGAACTTGGTCAGCCACCTAGCTCACTATACTTAGCTCCTTCGTGACCCGAGGTGCTTCAAACAAACATTCTGTCCCTGGATGTGGATCTTTATGAAGATCACTGCTATATATTAAGCAATGATGTATTCCCTATCTGGCCTGTGTCATCTCTTTTAACATACACATATTATATATATGCACAGAATCCACACACCACGCTCCAAGACACCGCCGCTGTTGATTGAAAGCATTCTCCGAACGTGTCGGCATTGGAAGTTGAGACTCAGCGGCGCTTTTCCAAAGCCTCCACTTGGATTCACCTTGGTTCGAAACAAAAACGCCAAGACACACAACTCGGAAAAACGCAACCCAAGTCTGTTCATCTCGGATCGGGAAAGCGCCTGTTTAGAGATGCCACAAACTGCAGAACATGATACACATTTGGTCCGGGAACATCAGCCAGAATGAGTCAAAGACCGCCGAAATGCTGCTCGGAAGCTGCAATTTCTGCACCTCCATCAATTGGATAAGTCGGCATTGCCTTGCGTTTCCCAGAGGGAAGTATAGAAGCGTGGAGTGCCTAATCAGCACTTCCCAAAACTGAGTCTGGATACAGCTGCGGCGAGAAAGATGAAGCGAGAATTGGACTAAAAAACGTGTCAAAAACTAGAGAAACTTTCTTTTTGTCAAGATCAAAGCTGGGATGCAAGTGTCGTGAGGAAGCCTCCGTGGTCACAGGTTAAGGAATGACAGAATCTTACAAAATGAGTTGAAAAAGATCGTGACATTTCAATGCTCTCCTGAGTCCATCTGCTTGACTCTTGCCGTCATCGCTCCAGATTTTCCACTCAGATTATTGATGCTGAGACATGCTCCCATAGGTAGAATCTTCCGGACTCATCTCTTCTGCTACCCTGGTGGATTGTCCTGCGAGCATTGCTTCATGACCTTGTGAGAAGCCTCACGTTAGGTTGGGATACCTCAAGACAAGGACATCGAAAAACATCAAGAGCAAAGTTGACAAAGTTCGACAAAACAGTCCATCTTCAAGGCTTGATGGCTTTCCGATGAAGTGCCGTGTTCTCTGAAAGAGGTCCTGAGGAAACAATCGTGTGATGTGACTCAGGTTTGTGCAAACTGTATCAGATTGTATCATAGCTCATTACAGAGCTCATTGATGCAAGAACGAACTAGCTGCTTGGTCTGACCGTGTGTATCTTAGGTTCCCTAAAACTAGTTTGCTGTGTGGTCTTTACGTAGCTAGCAACAAGTGAAATTGTTGGGGAAGGTGTGCGCAAAGAAGACTTAGTTCAGATTCTTTTCTACGTGCTCACTTTCTCCGAATTTGACAATGCAACAAAAGTACATGTTGAAATTGAATTCGGCCAGGCTCGTAAAAGAGAAATGCAGAAAGAAAGGCGCCAACCAAATTCACGACCTTGGTGGCAAAGTCGATCCTTTCGCATCAAACAGCCAACGTGTTGACAAAATAGGAAATGCCATGGTGAACTGTCGAGACGTGAGATACACTGACAGAAACTCACGAGGACTGAGCAAACACAGCTAAGTTAGCTAAGGCACTACCATGGCTTGCCCGAGTTCAAAAATCCTCGAGAATTGCCCATTCTCATCGACATTCCCGAGCTTTTCGAACATAAAGCCACCCAGCAAGGAACCAATGCTCCCTGAAACAGTGAAAACCTCAGTGCGATGCATCCCATCAGCACAATGTCAAATGCACGTCTGATCGCCAAGGGACAGTGCTAATCGCGGCCTGCATCCGTCCCTGCTCTTCCTCACCCACGAGGCGGCTCTTCAATCCGGCGACTGCAGGTAATGCGAACGTCATAGGCCCAGCGCATATCGCACAGTTCACGAAGGCTTGTGATGGTCGCACAAGGCCTCGGATTGCTTCATGGTGCATGTAGCGGTCAGGCCCAGGGTTACATTGAAGGTTGCGCCTGTAGCATTTCATGTGGGCCTTCCACAAAACTTCTGTCAAAGTTCCGTTTAGCCTGCAAAAGTTGTGGGTTTGATGTTGGACCTCTGCTGTGGTGCTGGAAGTGCGTATGGGGAGCATTGGATTCAGGACATGGTGGCAACTTCAGTTTCAGATTGGGTGATGACCGGAATCCGATTGTGGCACCAGCCCACTCAGTCACCGAGAAAGAAATGAGCAAGCCATGAGAGACTTCGAATGAACGAGGGAGTCAGCCTAGCTGGGTTTGTCAGCGGAGCTCCTGGAGGTGTTGTGAGATTCATGGGATCAGTGAAGGGAGCGCCATGGAGCCTTAGAAGAATCGTGGGGAACACCAAGAGTTTGGAGACATGTGAGAATGACTTCTCGTGAAAACACAAGAAGTGGGGAGTTTGAATACAGGAAGTGGCGACGTCGGGCTCATTTTGGACTTGATGGCGCTGCCAAGATTCCAGAGAAGTGGGGAGCTCAGCTGCAACATTTGAGCCGGGAAGCAGAGGAGCTTTTAAATTTAGAGGCAGAGATTGAAGAGATCACTAAAGATATCACCAGAGATGGACATTGGTGGTCCTTGATACCTTGGATGAGAAGTAGAAATAAGTTTCAAAGGATGAGTTGCAGCGTGCGATGAAGGATTGCTTCTATGTGATCTGCATGAAGGAGTCAGAGACATACCGGAATTTCATGACAAGACTTGACACAGCGTGCAAAGCTCTAGTCCGCAATGGGGTAGAATTACCTGACAGGAGGTGAGAGGATGGAGCCGTCAATGGTGCTGGCAAGTCAAGGGTCTGTCAAGCACCCTGACATCGTCACAGCATTTTCATCACCAAGGAGGACGTCAGGAAGAGGGGAACGTGCGGAAGATAGTTATCGCAAGAACTCGATGGCCTCGAGGGCTGTGAATCAGAAGCATTGGATGCCTTTGAGGCGCAGTTCAGAAGTGAACGCAAGAGAAGAACAGCCGTGGATATCGTTCCACAGCACCGGCGCAGTTGTCAACCGTGAAAGGGAAGATTGAAGATGAAAAAGAAGAAATGCAAAGCGAAGGCATTCCTTTGCAGAAGAGAAGGAATGCCCATTGAAAGGTGGTGACAAAGAAGCAACAGCGACATCAAAAGAAACAACAGCTGGTTGGCAAACAGTTTAAGTTTAGTTCTAATTCTTGCTTCTAATAGCAAACATTGCTCCTAGTAAGTAGTAAGGCCAGGAGCCCCTAGTAGCGTCCTTGCTCCTAGTAGCGATGCCAGGAAACCCGTTCGTAGCGTTCTTGTTAGTCAATAGAAGGAAAGCGCTTTCAGAGTTGCGAAGGTGGAGTTCTTCAGCGAAAGGGACAGTTCTCTCCCGACCAATCTACCGAAAGCACACAGAAGGCGAGGTGAACGAAAGACAGAAGGCTTCGAAGACGGGTGCGGCGAGAGGGTGGCCACTGAGTGCGCAGACCTGGGTGAATATGCTGTGCCAGCTGCCAAACACTGCTTGTCGTAGAACCCTTGTTGGTGAACTGATTTTTCGGATTGAGAGTAGGTTGAATCAGAGGGCTTAAGTGTCCCACTTTCGAAGGGTCCTGGAGACTTGAACCTACCAAATTTGCATTCTCAAGCTGTGAACAAACTTGCGAATTCATGCACTTGACGGCGGTTTGCACTTAGGGATCTCAGGAAGAGTGCATTTGCGGCATCGCATGACAGAGTTGGGAAGTGTAAGAGCACACCTTGAGGATGTTCACAATCCCAGTTTTGCACAAAAAGAGCCCGCAAAGAGAAAGCGAACAAAAATGGTTCGGTCTTCCATCGTCACGTCATCTACGCTTTTGAGCCTGGCTTATTTAGTTTGCACACTTGGAACCCAAACACTTCTGCAATTTCTGTAGTTAATTATGTTAATATTGTATATTAGTGTGGTGTATGTCATTGTAGTATTTGGGCCGTTATTCGGGAGTAGTGTTTGCGCTACGCGTGACAAGAAGGTTGCAAGAAGCGGACTGACTCAACGAGGCTATGGAAGACCAATGCAACACTAAACAAAGAAAGGTGAACATATTGAGAAACTGAGTCTATTCTCTAAAGTCGAAAGGACACACATGAGAGAAGCATGAAACATTATAAAAGCAAACAAACCCGAACCACCAAGTTCATTTCCAGCGAGGTGCCCACAGCAATGAGGGTGTAAACGGTGCTCATTAACCTCCCGAAGGCCATTGCGCCCACTTCGCCGACAAACCAAATGATCCAAGAGAAGAAGAGGGTCATCCTTGGTCAAAAGTCAAGAGGATCAAGGTCATCCTTGACAGAGTATGCGGAGGATCAAGCTGGCAACATAAACAAAGCTCTGTTGTCTCTGGTGCTTCTTTCATTTCAATACTCCAACCCAAAACATGCCGAAGAATACCTTCTCTGTGATATTGCTTGGATTGTTTTGAATGTGCCGTCACTGGTTTCTCTGGGGAGGCCGAAGGTTTCACAGGAATTTTGCACGAGTGGTCCTCAATTCCCACTGGAAGCATCGTGATGCATTGTCCTCTGTTATCCCTTCTCAGTCTTGGCACAAACAGTGCACACCCCGATGGAAACATGCAGAATCACGCGGAATCATGTAGATGGTCTCTTGAAATTTGGCCTCTTACCATCTCTTACCAAGACACACTGACCTTTAATCGTGAAGTCTCCTTCCCCCTGCCAAGTCTCCAAAGGATCATGCTCATATCCCAAAAGAATTCGAAAATGTAGGCATCGTGTGCCGACCAATTCATCCGCCGTTGATAATAGGTGCCCATCATGCGGTTGGTGCTGCTATCCATGAATGCAGCGATTGCTGTCACTATGGACAAGTTTCCTTAAGCAAACGTACAGCCTGCATGGTACAGTGACACGAAGCAAAGCAAACAAACGTGACATCTGAGGAAATCCATCTGGTGCGATCTGACTCTTGGACACTGAGCCCACGATCTGCCAAGCATCTCAAAGTTTTGGTCCTCCACCTAGGAGCGATCGGACGCTACGAACGGGGCTCCTGGCCTTACTACTAGGAACAAGAACGCTACTAGTAACAAAGGGCATCGCTACTAGGAGCAAGGACGCTACTAGATACTGAAGAGATGAGAACAAACCTCGCCTCTTCCCAGTAAGACCCCAAACTGCTTAAACACTCTATAAACTCCATCTCATCTATCGCATGTCTTATGTCGATGTTTGTAATATTTTGTAATGATATTTTAATATATTTTAGATGCTTTTGATCATCTTTGATTCTTGAATCCGGGTGGCAGAATGGGCATGGAGTCCCAGGGCACGAAGTTCCGTGCGCTCAACTGGAAGGATCGTTTCTCAGGTGGCAACGTCTCAGGGAAGAAAACGACCAAGACAAATCCGGTGATCAACGTGGCCTCGAAGCGCACACACGATGCTTCGTGTGATCATTTCTCGATTCACTTTGTGTTTGGCCTTGGAACAGAAATGCAAAGTTCAAACGGCTCCAAGTAGCAAATGTCGCAACAATGTAAGTTTGCTTCATTTCCAAGTGATAGCCCAACAAAAGGCCGATGACATAGGCAATGGTGTCCAACGCACTGATGATTCCCATTCCTCGCTGTGATCATGGTATCCAATTTCTTGATCACTGCATGTACGCATAGGATGCCCATGAACAAAGTGCAACAGCACATGGATTTCGCAGGGCTTGGATGCATTTGAAGTCATTTAGTTTTTGCGGGGAAAGTGTGTGTGTGTAGGATCATGTAGGATCGCCCTGGTTTTTGGCGTTTGACAGTGATGGACATGGGCCGGTCATTCGCTAACACCATTGGCGCTGCATCAGCGCGAATGAGATCTCTGGAGAAAAGTACGGAAAGAAAAGTGGTTCTTAAAGAAAAGTGGTTGCAGGAAAAAGTGTAGGAAAGTGGTTTCTGGAGAAGAGTGTGGCCAAGTAGAGATTTTTGGAGGCTTGAAAAAGGTACAGAAGAGTGCATGCAGAGGGAAAGTACGGAAGCACCACATTACGCACTTCACCACACCAACATATCCTCACAAAACGACAACCAGAGTGCCACTCGCCACACAGCGCCCGCCTGCCGCACGGTCTTGAGGTCTCAGAAGGTCTACACAGGCGGCATTCAGAACCGTCGTACAGACTTGCGTGTTCATGAAGGGCTGCCTGAGCGAAACGAACAAATCTTTCAAACGTACGTTTTGTGTTTGTACAAATTTTGTATGTTTCCTGATTGCAAAGCGGAAGAAGCAAAGGTGCCAGGCGATGACAAACCAGAAGCTGACATTGAAGAAAATGAAGAGGTCAGCGAAGACCAAGGCCACATTCGAGAGGCAAAAGACCACAAAGAGGGCTTTCCTAGCGCAAAAAAGTATCAATTGAACGTGTCAAAAGGGGACCTGAGAACTTAGAACCAGAATGGGCTTCTTCTTGGAATCCAACAAACCCAAGAAGTAATTATGTACGAAATGTAGGGAAAAAATCAAACCAAAGGACTTCATGAAAGAAATGGAACCTCTTGAACTTAAAACCGAGAGGAAATGCAACCCAGTCATGAAGATGGAATGCCTTCCTGTGGGACCAGGGTCAAACAACTGCTTCTCTCGTTTCTCTGGCAAACAAGGAAAGCTGCTCCGAGAAATAGATGAACATCTTGGCATCTTGTTTGGTTCTCAACTGAGTGCCAAGTAGCTTTCGGCCATAAGCGTCGCTGAGCAGACCAACCAAAGGCAAAGTAAGGAACTGACACAAAGGCATCACCAGGGCTAAAACCGTCAGGAGCCTATTGCCGTCCACCAAAGCCATCTGACAATATGGTGACATGGTGCCTAAGGCAAAATGTCTCTCACACGTCTTGCCTCTCAAAAGGAAGGAATCACCACGCCGCCGCCGCCGACGACGACGACCACGACGACGACCACCACCACCACCACCGCTAACGCGCTGTCGTTAACCTAACTGTATGTTGCTACGAAAAGGGACGCTACTACTGACAACGCTATCTGAATCTGTGCAACTACCTACTTGACCTGATACTGCCAAGCTGCTTATCTGGCACTTGATCTCCGATGGTGGCCTGAGGTCGCCGCTGAAACGGGTTGTCTTGACTCACTTCAGCACCATGCTCTTTCGGAGTTGCGGCACTACGAATAAATTCAGCAACCCTCGCTTCCAGGGAGCAGGTCTGTGTATCTCTGCGCGAAAAAGTTCAAGGTCAGGAAATTGCCCATGGGCAACAGCATGCCAGTACCTGGCCAGTGCTTTCTTGGACTTTGCCGCTCAAGCGGTTTTGATTTATTTCAAGGGCTGTTGCAAAGTTTGTGGTATCGGTATCACCCATAATTGTTCTTACCTTCTTGCTTTTGACCTGTCTTGTCTTCTTTAGACAATACTTCTTTTTCCTTCGTCTTAGAGTCTGTTTTGTATCTCAAAAACAGTGTCTTGTCGAGTTGACATCGAAATCCATCGCCGAGGCTCCGATGGAAGCCATCAACGTCCATGGTACGATCCAACCTGAGGACACAAACGAGAGGACTCGGACCGACTGGAGGACCCGACTGGACGATCCCACACCACACCGATTGTGGGCATCGATGGGCATCGTCCGCACTGGAAGATCTACACTTTTTGGAGCCAAAGGAGAATCTTCATTTTCCGATGCTGACCATCGAACCTCACCAAATGACCAAACATGTCCAAGCAACCCAAAGACCAAAGGAGCTGCAGGCCAGTCTTTCCTGCCTCTTCCATCACGTTTGCTCGTTTTCCACGAAGGGGTGTTTGCTTTCAGATGGTCGGCCCATTTGAGCCGTTCACGCTGCAATTGGGAGGTTCAAAGCAACGAACCAACTTGAGGCCAAGGGGGGGGCGAAAGCTAGCGCTCCAGAATGGGAAAGTGGAGGGCAGCGAGGTAGGAAAAAACACGGCGCTCTTTTTGGAGGCAGGGGTGAAGAGTCCTTTATATGTGGCTCTTTGCCCGGTTCCTCCTGCGAGAGAAGAGAGAGAAGAGAGACGGAAAGACGAGAGACAGAGAGGAGAGAGAGAGAGAGAGGAGAGAGATGAGAAAGAGATGAGAGAGATGAGAGAGATGAGAGAGAGAGAGAGACAGTGAGACAGTGAGACAGTGAGAGTGAGCGAGTGCGGCCGCAAGATACGCAACGCTAACCGCATGCCAAAGAGCGACGACAGGACGGAGTCGAACTTGCGACGAAGAGGGAGGAGGGAGGGAGGGAGGGAAGGTGGGAGGAGGAGAGGGGAGGTGGGGAGAGGGGAGGTGGGGAGAGGGGAGG